TTTTTCACCTCGGGTGACGTTACTATTCGCTTGCGAGTTGACTCAGTGGAATCCCTTGAGGCGACTTATCGAGTCGGAGGAGACGCCTCGGTGCTATGCAATAATTGATGGTGGTTTCTCAGACATCCACCGACCAGACATGCCTTACGGCGGCGACATTCTCGAGTAGCACGCCCGGTTTTTAAACAGCTGAAGCAGAGTCGAAGGCGTTTGGCTTTATTCCACCTCTCTAAAATAGAGGCATCTTTAAATCGTTGACATTCCGAGACGTTGTGTTCGTCTTGGCATAATGAGCATTTGGGTTGCTCATCAGTTGCGGTGTGTAATACCGCACGGCGTTTCGTATCCTGAACCTCGGGCCCCATGACTATCTGGACATAATTTGACACATCGGTCAACCATGAGTTGAAACTTACGATGGTTGGGTATGGCCTTACAGTAACCGCATAACGTGCCCACTCCAGGCGTCTCGTAAGAGGAAGCTTCGACACGAGCTCCTCGAGGAGAGTAGGGTTCGCTAAATGTCTCTCTTCCCCCATTGATTGCAGAAATATTGTCTGATTGTTAGTGAAGGTAGCAAATTGCACGATTTTCCCAGTTGCTCCTATGGCACGTTTGGCGTATCTCGGACCTGCTTCATTTGGCTACGTATAAGTTGCTCTGGTCGTCCGAATCGGAAACGAAGTTGTTCCATAACGGCACTGACGTTATTTGGTTGAATTAATAACGCTTTGACGGCATCTCGTGCGGCACCTTTAAGGCATTTATTTAGTCGCTGGTTGTTGTCAAAGTTTGAGTATCCATAAACGGCAGTCGATTCTGTATAAGCTGCATAGAAGACTGGCCAGTCTTCTGGCTGTCCAGAAAACTCGGGTAAATCACGAACTTGTCTAGGCGTTAACATCATCATGTTTTGGGCGGGGATGTTAAGCTGCTGCGGCGGTAAGGTGTGATGCGGCGTCGCGGACGTAGCTTGCCGTCGCTCTACAACTCCTGCCAGTTGTTGTTCCAGGTCAGTAATCTGCTGTTGTACAGAGTAGTTGTCTGTGGCGATCGTTGGCGCGTATGCGGAAGGTAGCGAGGCGACGGCTTGAGATGGCATATGCGCACTGTAAGGAATAGCGCTCGATGCTGTATGCCCATAAGACGATGGCGGCAGGGTACTGGAAATAATTGGCTTATAAGCATCCGTAACTGGTGGCGAACAAGTTATTGGCGGTGCGGCGGGTACTGCCGTTGGTGCCGATATACTGGACGGCGAATAGGGCTTGATGGCTGGCATATAGACATAGCGCGAAGGACCGGGCGGTACTGCTGGAATACAACTACAAGACATGACGGGCGCCTCCATTGGCGCGTGAGTATTTGAGGGTATGAACGTGGCGGCTGGACCCTGACCATAAGACATCGCAGCACTAAATGGAACTGTCATATACATTGTAGACGGCGGTCCAGGTGGTACTGCAGGCGTGTGACTATCGCACGGAGGAAAGTTTGTGCTAGCTGACATGTTGGTCGCCACTATTGGCGCATGGGTATTAAATGGGGCGGATGTTGCAGGAGAATAACCATAAAGCGCCATACTGCTCGGCGCGGCTGGCTTATAAGCGACGGGCGTTGGCGCAGGCGGTACTGCAGACGCGTGACTATAGGGCGGCGGAACGCACGTATTGGCTGAGGTGCACATGAAAGGCGAATAATCGGCCGTTATTGATCTGGTGTACATATTGTCCGATGCACCAGTGGCCAGTGGCATGTCAGGCGGCGCTGGTGACATGTCAGACGACATCATGCCAGTCACAAGTGGCATATAAGTAATGGGAGACGTATCAGGCAGTAATACTGGCGTAGTAGTAGTAAGCGGAATGTCATGAGCCGCTGTTGTATAAGTAATTGACGATATAGTATCAATAGTAGCAGGCAAATATGTGTTCGACGGCAAAATGTAGACGGCGGTTGACGTAATGGCACTGGACGACAAAGTGAAAGTGGTCGTAGACGAGTTATCTTGAACGCCTGTGTCTAGAGAATCTGTGTTAGGCGGCGATGTGATTGCCAGACATCTCGGAGTACCCTCAGGCTGGCTGCCTGCTCCTGGCTGGAAACGGAGGCTACGGCGAGGTGTATGGTGAATCATGTTTTCGCAGGACTTAGCTGCAAACGAAGCTGCGAAATAAAAATGTTACTGGCCCTCGCAGAAATTAATGAAATAGAACGTACAATATTGTATCTTGTTTATTTCTAAAGATATGAATAAAACAATGCATTAATAAAGCAATTTATAAAAAGGAAAAAATTACCGCAGTTTCCCCTTCTGCTCGGGTTGAATATCTTTTTAGTTTGAAATCAGTGCTGTCAACCGTCAACCCAAGCCAAGAAGAATCTACGGAGTTGCCATATGCTATATTGCAAGCAAAGTTGCACGAATAATGAAAGGGCCCTGTTTCACAACAACATCACTGCGGTTGTGCGACTATGAATAGAAGTAAAAGTTGGTACTTAAATTTAAGTTGCAACTTTGTTAGTTTCGACTTAGTTGCTGGACTATGAATACGCGCCATTATTTACATTTTTATTGATTCCCTTTTCAGTACTTCTTTTTGCACATTTTTTGTGACGTGTGGCAGCACCGCGATTTCAGTTCACTCGATGTACAAAGGAAAATGTGAGGTTAAATTTCATTTTTTTTACAACTTTAACAACGAATTACTTAAAAACTATAAGCCTCCGGAGGGGGAGTTTTCAGATTTAGAATCACAAAAAGCCGCAAAAAGCCCCCTCATTTTTTCTTTTCAAAGCCTGGTATTGGAAAATTTTCCCCGAAGTGTTATACTTGGGGTGTTCACAGTCTACATTTTCAGACACAATTTGGAACGAACTGTGAGCACCCCTTTCTAGCAGTCGTCGCAAAATCGTCTCAAAACTTTGCTGGTGTTGCCAGACATTTCTTCTTTGCGTGCATTTTTTATATGGCGCCTTTCGATTTTGTTACTGAAAAATTGTAATTATTTAACTTAATTACCAATTCCTAATATTTGTTATTTCTTTTCCTTGATTTGTTTCTTTTCATCAGAAATTGCGCTCAAATTAAATGCAAATATAGAAAACGTGCCCAATAAATAAAAAAATGCGATTAGTATTGCCATAATGCAACCCTGCTGCGAGGTTGCAAAATGTAGACGCGTAAAAAACATACCTTTGAGTGTGACAAAATGTAGACGGCGTCGTTTTCCAATTTTGTATGGGAAACAACAACACCACAGATTTTACGGTTGGAAAACGTCTTAAAATGTAGACGTCTACATTTTGAGACACTATTTGGAACGAACTGTGAACACCCCAACTGACACAGTTTATTGATTAACAAATAACTACTTATTTCTTACAAGTTTAGTTAGTCGCATTTTGTAATTTTTAACTTCCAAACCATTAAATTCAATTTTGTGATTTGCCAACCAGCTGTCTTTGATCAGCTGTTTTCCTGTTGGCAAATTGCTTTTGGCAAAAAATTTTCCAGCAGAAACCAGCAGCTCCGCCTCAAAATGTCTGTTTGCTCTCTCAATTTCCCCTACTTTGCAAGTTTTTTGCGTACGCGAACGCAAAAACTTGTAAGTTTTGGTTAAACATGAACAATTAACAGCTACGCGAACGCAACTATTTTCAATAGTTAAATACACCGATCAGTTGATTACTTGCTAGTTTCTGCTAGTTTTGCGTGTCTTTACTTTTTCTTTATTTCGCTGTCTGTGAGCGTAATTCTTAAAATTTTCTCATTCTTCCTGATAATTAACTGCTAGAAAAGAAAAGAAACAAAGCTAAAGTTGGGGTTTTTCAGTTTGGTTGGTTTTTTGTCAGATTTTGGTAGGTTTTTTTTTTTTAACAAGTGGCAACCGAGCCCAGGGCTATTGCAAACGTCAACAAGCTGTACAAAAACACAAAAAAAGCTGAGAGGATAATAAAGTCCTTAAGAGCCAGTCAGACGTGGCAATATTTCCGTCTTTCGCACGCAATTCGCTGTCAAATTGAGAAAGAGAAATTTTATTTCGAAAATTTTGGAAATCAGTTTCAGAAATAAAAGTTGCAAGGTGGGACTGCAACTGCAAGAGCGAAAATCGATTTCGGAAATATATTTCAACTTGCGCGTGCTGCACTAGCAATTTTCATTTCTTCTGCAAGTGCTGTCAAACTAATCGAGTGTTGCCGTGTGGCCCTGATCGTGAATTTGTGTAAAATGATAAAAAATAATGTTGAATTAAATATCAAAAATGCTTGAAATATATTATTTTGCTTAATATACTTAATCGTTAAATTATTGTTTACACGGTAAATATGTTAATTATAACCTATATTTTCTCGCTTTTACAAGAGAAATAGCAAACAAACGACAACCCCACCGCCCATGGTTGCATTTTAGTATCGAGAAAGATTGCCAGAAACTCATTCGCTGTGTGAACAGCCAAAAAGCGATTTCAGAAATTTTTCCTGCAATTCGCCGTTCGGAAATAAAAACCTCTTTCGAAAGACACTTTCCATGCAAGGTGTGACTGCTCATGCCACTGATTTCTCAATTTGACAGCCTTTCCGAAATTTATTGCATCGAAATATATTGCCACGTCTGACACGCCCTTTATAGCTCAGAATTGATTATTTTTCTGATTTCCATTTGTAACAATTCGAATTATTTGATTTTGTTTCGGAATCAATGATTTAATATTCTTTTCAATTGTTATTAATGTGATAGTAAACTTGTGATGAAAACAAAGAGAAAATTAAATATATCTAATGAAATTCCTTATTAACTAGCCGAAAGAATCTTGAGCTAAAAGGTGGCAAGTGAAAAGGCAGATGGCTAATAGCCAAACACCGACGTAGCATTTACTCACATACATATACACACAAAGGCAAGCAATTTGTCACCAGGATTAGATGAAACGACAATGGTTGTATGTGGACCCAGCCCAAATAAAGGTAAAAAGGATATCCGTCGAGCGTAACTAAGCGTGAACCGTTTTCACGGAGAATCCATTAAAAAAGTTACATTAACTTCAATAAAGACAAGGGAATAAATACAAGCAGGACAACTTGGTTGTGAATTGAACTTGGGGACTCATCAAATATTCGTAATGGAATAAATTACCACACTGTTGCTTTGATTTCAAAAACAGTAAACTCGCTAAAGTAATTAACAAAAAATGAAGGTTCATTTTCGCGAACAATACGGCACCAAGGGTGAAGAAGTCCTCTATATAACACCAGCAGGTAAATTCAAAACTTTCTATATATGTACATATTAAATTATTGTATATATGTAGTATATTATACATGCATATGTACATTCTAAACCAATTTCAGATCAGAGCAACATTGTACGAGTGCCATTGCGAAGTGATAAATTAGTAATACAGGAAAAAATTTTCCTTTTCCGATTGCTGCAGAATATCTTCCTACCGAAAGGTTATCCAGATAGCGTCAGCGATGATTATGCAGCGTACCAAGTGTGGGACACTATACAAGCGTTTTGCAGCACAATCTGTGGTTAGTGGTGTAAATTTATTTTGGTTAATTGGTTACTATCCTACATTTACAAATATTCATATATTTACGTACATATGTACATATGTATTTTTAGGTACTCTTTGTACACACGCAATACTCAAGGGAATAGGTGTGGGTAATGAAAACATTTCTGCATACTCAGCTACGGTTACTTGGATACTGAAAGAGGGGAGCGGTCATTTGGGACGTATTTTATTCTCTTGGTGGAAGGGTTCACAGCTGGATGTAGATTCCAAGAAGTGGCGGCTTCGTGCTGATTTCTTAAACGATTTAGCTATGTGTATCGAGATATATGTGCTTCCCAAATATGCGCATTTGAGCACGCAGCTATTATGTGGCACAACAGTAATGAAAGCCATTGTTGGAGTTGCCGGTATGTGTTTACAATTAATAAAAAATATTCAGGCGTAAAATACTATTATTAAAATAAAATACTTAAAAAATTTAATTACAAATGACTGCTCTTTGGTCAATAGGGGGTGCGACACGTGCGGCACTTACGCAGCATCATGCGATTCGTGGCAATCTAGCCGATGTTGCATCGAAAGATAGTTCTCAGGAAACCTTCGTTAATTTGATTGCTTCATTCATTGGTCTTTACTTGCTAACTGTCATTAAGTCACAAAGGTAAATTGTAGAATTTATAACTATTTAATTTTGTATTTAATTAGTTTGTGGCATTTATATTTCAGTGTATTGTACAGTGTCTTTATATTTGTAATTATTTTGCATCTTTATGCCAATTTGAAAGCAGTTAAAGCTGTCTGCCTTCGTACATTCAATGAATCTCGTTATTTAATTGCTTTGGAAGAATATTTTCGATCTGGACGAATGTTAACGCCACAACAGGTAAAAAATTAGCAAACTAGCATGTTGCTTTATATAATAGGAAGTTCTTTTTCATAGGTGAATAAAATGGAACGCGTTACCATTGGTCAAACAGTTTCTGTTTCGCTAAACATATTAATAGGCTTGTCCATCAAGACGCTTATCGACGAGTATCGTAAAACTCATGCAATTGAGAATATAATATCCTCTTTTGATCCACACGAACGATTTATCATTGCTGAAAATAATAAAAACATTGGAGTGTATTTACATTTCGACACACGATCTCAGGATGTGCTGAAAGCGTATTTCTTTGCAGTTTCATATTTGCAAGATCGTAATCAAATCAAGGATAAATATTGGGAGATTCAAACCAAATGGCAAGAATTTGTTGCTTTAGCACAAAAAGAAGGTAAGGCTTTTGTTGTCGAGTAGATGTGTCAAATGAGTTAAGCTAATCTAAACGGTCGAAAAACCCTTTGTCTTTTAGGTTGGCTTACGACTCAGCATTTACTCATGGTTGACGAGTATCGATTGGACTGGAAGGCTTAGAAATGTTCGAGAGAAGATAGACAACAATATGATTTTATTAATCACATTTTTTTTGGTTCTTATTTGAAGAAATATCCAAGGTACATTAAACTTTCAAGGCTATAAATTCCTCATTTCTTGATTTGATAACACTGGCCAACAAAAAAATTTTGCAGCAGAGTCAATAAATGCTGATCCCTAGAGATTTTTGAACGCAGAATCAGAATCTGTCCTTATAAATTTCAGATCGCGTCTAGTTTTTGAGATAATTTCACTTAAAGATGTCAAAAAACGAAATTAGCATATTTTGAATCGTTATAATTAAAAAAAAAGAAACAGTACACGAAGGAATATTTTTAATAAGATGAGAAGAAAGCTTAAACTCTGTTCTTTTATCCCGACAGATAAAAATACCTTTTTGTAGTATTTATTTTTGAAAAGTTTTTAAAAAGCACAGGTAAGCAAAAAGTCGGAACATTTCGGCATATTTAATGTAATAGCTACTCGCGGTTTATATTTTTTTAATTTCCTCTTATTCAAAAGATTCTACCAGACCCCGTCATTCCATTATAGATATCTAAAAAATGCCACTAATTAGTATTTTGCCACTTTTAAGGCAAAATATCTCAACAACTGGAGTCAATCTAATATTTCTAATTTCAGATTCTGATTCTACGGAAAAATTCTATAAGAATCAGGGTTCACTTTCCGTACCCCAAACATTTTTTGAAATTTTGTTGGCGTGGGTAATTGATTGGCATGAAAAACAATATAGAATACAGATTAAAAAACTAATGACTCTGGAGGGGGTGTTATAAGAACTTAGCTTACTTTTGTTTATAAAGAAGAGGGCGGAATTAAAAATGACAGAAACTCTGCTTACATAATACTTGAGCTACAACTTTTCTCTTTACAAAATTAATCGGCTGCGTCGACTGTTGCAAAGAATATTGATTTTCTTACTAAAACCCAATATTTTAATCCTAAAGCTAAATTTTGAGTTTATTGAGAGAACATTCGGCCAGTGCTGAACTTTTTTTACCTCCCTTTTATTAGCTTGGGATGTAATATTGATGCGCCTAAAAGATGCAGCGATTTCCATTCTCAAGTTACATACCAGATGACAGTACGAATGGGAATTGCTTTGAATTTCCATTCTTAAAAAAACGTGATGACAGTACGAATGGAAATTATAACAGCGAGTTTTTTTTTTAGTTTTTTAAACTATAATTTTATTGATATTAGATGTAAGGAAGTGATATTCACATATCTCGTAAATAACAAAATTAAAATGGCAATTAAAATAAAAGTACATACTTATAACGCATTATCGGAATGTAGACAAAACAGATTAATAGAACAAATTGCATCGCTTTTTTATTTACATAGTCCTTTAAGAAGCAAGTACTTTGGCCGCTGCTTCAATTAATCTATATTCAAGCACAATTTTAGTGGAGTTACTAGTCCTGGTATGAAGAGGAAAACTAGAATTACTTTCAATGTTTAGGGGCTTTAGAATGTGATCTAGTATAGTTTGGACCAACTGATATACCGCGTGCTTATTAGTACCGACAATGGTTGGCCAAGTAGTCGATTCCATCTCATTTCTGCAAGGCATTGCAACAAGCTACAAAATAATGAAATTAAGTTCTAACCAGCGATGCCAACTTGCGGGGAATTTATCTCGGTTCGGGGAATGAGCTGCCTTTGCGGGGAATTTCGACTAATTAAAGAACTTATCCAAGAGCGCTTACCATACTTTTTGTAAAATTTTATTTTTTAGTCGCAAATTCAACTCTTCTATTTTCGACTATAAAAGTATTGATATCAGCAACAGCGTTGCCGTTTTATAATTTTCGAACAGAGTGAAATTAGCCAAAAAGTGGAATGTTTTTAGGTTATTCATAGTGCCAAAGTAAAAGATTGGCTAAAGTATGTAAAACACATTTGTGTTATAAACTATAAACTTCCTGCATTCATATACATATCTGTGTAATCAAAATTACACGTTCGCCAGAAAATGCGAAAAACTATTTCTTAACACATGCTAATCATATGGGCAAGGGGGACTTTACCTTAGGTTTTTTCAACAAATTATAACATTTTTAGTGCATTATTTCAAAATTTCCAAATTTTGAGTTGTGTCACTTTTGAAGATCGTGTGCGATATGCATGTATGTAAGGGCAAACCTTGCAATCAATTTTTGACCAACTTTCCGATGGCCTATAGACCTGAAACTTCACAGTTGGCTCAGAACCCGATGACAATGCAATATGAGAGGTGAGGTGTCGAGATATTTGCGAAACTCGCATTTTAGTCCGATTTAGTTCAGATTTAGAACGTATGGTAACAACATGAAAAGGAATAACTCCACTAAAAATTTTGCCGTTTGGTGGCGTACCTATTTGGTAAATTAGTATTTATCGTCCGATTTCGTTCATCTTTAATAGTTTGCTTTAAAAATATTTGTTTTTACTATTAACTTATTTAAATATTAACAGTTCTTTTCAGGCTAAAATTTTTTTGTTATTTTTTTACAAGAATTCAGCTTTAAAAAAAACTATACAAATCAAAGTTTCAAACTTTACACAAAGTTAAGGAAAGTTCAACGAATTTTCTTCAAAACTTTGAACTTTTTAATCAGAGTTAAAAAAAATTTCTGGTATGGAGATTACACAAGGCAGCAGTGACTTTGTTACGGCAAAGGTTAAAGCTGTTTTGATAGACTTCTTGTGCTGATTACGAATCCGCACGTATAAAGTTTCCATCAGCTCCAGATTTTGAGAAAAATGAGGTCAAAATGTAAAAAACATCGCGTTTTTTCAATATTTTAGAGGGTCCAGCAAAAAAACAAAAGGTGGTAGAACCTTAGGCTTAAATTAAAGCTAAAACTCTCGGCTACTATCCCTGAAAATAGCACCCATGCACCTTGACCTGATGTCCACTATTAGTCATTTATTGAACAATATAGAAATACGGAATACTGTGCTATTGAAAAAAAAAAATTTTGCCAAAATCAGTTTTTGCTGTTAAATAGATAACTATAACTAGCCTTAGGGTTAAGGTTCAGGGATGGTATTTTAAGAGATTGTAGTCGAAAGGTCAAGCCTTAATTTGAGCCTAAGTGGAAGGCTGTATCACCTTTTGTTTAATTGTGGTGGGTACGCAAACTTCGCACAAAATCAGGTTTTGCTGTTCAATAAATGACTATATGTGACCATCAGGTCAAGGTGCAGGGTTGGTATTTTCAGGATAGTAGTCGAGAGTTTTAACTTTAATTTAAGCCTAATATCGCCTTTGTTTCTTTGCCAGAGCTTCTGAAATATTGCAAAGAACGAATTTTTTTGACATTTTGACCTCGTTTTTCTCAAAATCTGGCTGATGGAAACTTTATACCCACGGATTCGTAATCAGCACAGAAAAGTCAATCCAAAACAGCTTTAACATTTGCCGCAACAATTTGTTTTCTTATTTTTGTTGACTTGTGTTATTATCCTATTCAGTTTTAGTATAATAATGTGCAAATTTGAAGCGGCTAAGGGTTCGGGATGATTTTTAATATTTTTTTTGCCGACGGTTCTACGTATTTTTCTCCATAAAAAGTATTAGCGATTTTTTTTTTATATGGAAGAAGGTTTATTTTCTTTTTCGATGATCATTTTATTGCCTTTTTTGATTTTAGTAAAACTATAACATTATTAAATTATTATTTAATATTTTTTAATTCCACAAATAGCACCTATTGGTGATTAAGTTTATTTATTATTTTTTCGAATAAGAATTTTTCTCCGTTGCACAAACAGTGAGTTAGGTACTTGCAATTTTTACAAATAATTTACATATAAAGGTAGTAAATAGTCACTCATTTTAATTTCATAGTAACTATATAATTCTGATAATCTCAAAATCTAAACTAAAGATGTAATATGCTTTGGGGGTAGAAAAGTGAATTTTTTCGAGAATTGAATTTTTATTTTTATTTTATGCATATGTATGTATGTACATTCCTTAATAAATTCAATTAACTAAATTAAAAAATTTAATATTTTTTTATAAGGAATTATGCCAGTGCGGCGAATTCCACCGAGAATCGGGGAATTTCGCGGTGGCCAACGGGGAGAAAGAAAAATGGAGTTGGCATCCCGGGTTCTAACCTTCATTCATATAACCTATAGCAAAACCCTCTTTTTGGCCTTAGCACCTCGTAGATGTGTTTATTTAAAATGCATAAGTTTATTTAAAAATTTAGAAAAAGAAATTTGCGAACTTATTTTAATTTATAAAATACAAAAAAGACCTAACTATGAAGACTCAACTACCAAACCAAAAAAGTTTTAAATGATTTACCAAGAAGAGTATAAACATACATATTTTAAGAAACCTTTTACCAATATACAGTAGGGATATTTATAAACGAATTTGAACATGTACAGTAAAAGAGGAAAAGCAATTGAAAATTTTTACGACACGTGATTTTATTTTTACTCGGTTGAGTAAATCACATTATACTTTATAAATGATTCGCTTATACTACTAAACACAGTTAAATACGTGGTATTTAAATATACTAATAAGTCAGTGCAATATATTTTAAAGTACTAGGCATGGTATGAAATGCAGAAATAATTATAAGTTGTTGCTTAAAGTAAGCTTTTCATTGCAAAAATATGTGTTAAGGTTTCTGTCAATTATCATGCACTGTGAAGGCTACTTTTATGGTTCTTTAAATAAATGTAATATGTAAATATTTAGAATTTGGTTGACATATTTATTTAATAAACGAAAAATTAAGCATCCAAAATATAATATGACAATTATTGAGCCATAAAAAAATACACATACTGTGTAATAAACTGCCGAAGGCGTTAACGTAATATTGCCGTAGTGCGATTTTCTACTGTCAGTAATGTTTATCATTTCTCGTTAGGTAAACCAGAGCGTGAGGAACGCAAAAAACACTTTTCATGCCCGGAATCAACAAATCAGTTCTAAACAATGATTTTATGTGTAGCTTATGTAGCTAATATCTTATGTAGCTAATAAAATTAGCAAATACCTACATTTCGGAACCTTTAGTGCTATTTTCAATTTTTGTATTTTACAAACAACGGCTGTTCTTTCAAATTGACTTCTTGCACATTTCTGCCCGGAAAAAAGTCCGGGCTGTTTCGGGCACGAAGAAGAAGTTATTTACGATCCAAAAGTGGAAGATATTCGCTCTCTATAACCCATTTTTCTAGCGCGAGGAACGCTTTCTGGGCTGTTTTGGGCACCCGCGGGATCGTGTGGAACAAACCTATTGTTGCGTGTCGTAAAGTTTTAAACAGCTTGTATCATATTCAAGGATTTGGAAAGTATCATTGCAGTCATTTTATAAATCGTTTAATTGTCCATAAAATTATTGTGGGTTCG